GCTGGGGCTGGGTGCGCCCGCCTGCCTGGCGCGCCCCGCAAGAGTGCGCAGCTCTCTGGCCGCGGAATCCGAAAGGGGGGAGGGGTCCCCGAGCGGTCCAATGTCGGGGAGACGTAAGACCCGGATACGGGGGACTCGGAAATCCCCGACGAGGTCGTCAAAAAAATGACGAGGCCGAGCCTGCATTTTGACGAGGCCTCCCGCTGCAGACATCCCACGAAACTCCTCCTCGTCAAAATCCGAGTCGCGGTCGTCAAAAAACGATGGCGAACCCGAGTCCCGGCAAACCCGGGTCTTACGCTCCCCCGACCCGAGCGGTCCAATGACCACACAGACTGGTGAGTCCAAGGTGACTCGGGCCGCGGTGGGCTTTGGGAGCGCCCTCCGAAGGCGTCTCGAGCGCCCAGGGCCTCCAGAGTCCCAAACCCTCGCAGCGATGGACCATCGGGTGAGGTCTTCGAGATTTGGAGGTCGTCGCATGGTCTGTCACCAGATGGTGTCGGGACTGAAGGGAGAGGGGAACGAGCAAATGAGTCGACGACGGGATCCCTAAAATTCCCTACCTAGGCTCTGCCTAGAAGGGTTCTTACCCTCTGGGCTTAAAGGGACGGGCAGTGGAAATCGCCCCGGGCGGTTCCCCCGGCATCCGCCCCGCGGTTCCCCCAGTTACGTCCCCTTAGCTTAGTGTTGTTTATCTCATCTTAGCTTAGCTTATTTCATATTAGCTTAGCTTAGCTTCATCTTAGCTCAGGTTTATTCCCTACCTAGGCTCTGCCTAAAAAGGATCTTACTCTCTTGGCTTAAAGGGCCGGGCAGTGGGAACCGGCCCGGACGGTTCCCCCAGTATCCGCCCCGCGGTTCCCCCAGTTACGTCCCCTTAGCTTAGCGTTGCTCATCTCATCTCAGCTTAGCTTATTTCATCTGAGCTTAGCTTAGCTTCATCTTAGCTCAGGTGTGCCTTAGCTTTGCTTACCTTCATCTTAGCTTCGCTGAGCTTTAGCATAGCAGAGCAGAACACAGCATAGCATAGCGTAGCATAGCATGGATGTAATTCCCTACCTAGGCTCTGTCTAGAGGGTTAGCTTAGCTTAGCTTAGCTTAGCATAGCATAGCATAGCGCTGCATTAGCATAGCATAGCATAACATACCATAGCCAAGCATAGCATATCATAGCATAGCATAGCCAAGCATATCATAGCACCGCGCAGCTTAGCAAAGCATAGTATATCATAATACAGTGCAACATAACACAGCGCAGCATGACATAGCATAGCTTAGCACAGCATGTTATATCAGAACATAGCATAGCGCAGCATAGCATAGCATAGCATAGCGTAGCGCAGCATAGCCTGGCATGGCATAGCATAGCCTAGCAACTCATGCTGTTTTCCTAGGGGCTCTAACTTCTAGGTAGGGTCGCACTGGGGTAAGTATGTGCATTTTGTTTCTAGCAAATTCCCTTTCAATAAGCGTTTGGAGATGAAGATCAGTCTGCGTGTGAATGATTTTGAATACGGCTGACTGAGTACAACTTGGCCTGAATGTAACTGCTGGGTCTGAGCATGACTCGATCTTCTGTGGCAAGTCCCCCTAGTGCCCCGATGCTATGCCTGCTGCGTCGCGGTGATCAATCAAAGCAGAAACATCGGGTGGGGGGGGGGCCAACGTTTCGCTCGAGATTTCCCCACAATCTGGGCGCGAACGGTCCAGTGTCCTACCGTCTGGCTGCTCCCCCTTGGGGCGCCCCAGTGCTGTAACTGCTACACCACGGTGATCATGGGGATATCGAAACAGAGGTGTCGGGAAAGCTCGAGCTGCCGTTTCGCTGGGGACGCGCCCATGATCTGGGCGTGGACGGCGCCTCCTTGTGGTGCCCGAGTGCCATGCCTGCTGCATGTCATGAGGCCCCAGTCCGGAAGCCCCCAAGGCAGCGTTTCGCCCGAGACGTGCCCACGATCTGGGCGCGAACGAACCGAGTGTCCCTGCCCCTCTGGCGGCCCCTCCTGGGGGTGCCCAGGTGCCTGGGTAGACCGCGGGGCTCTCAGAACCGAGGAGCCGGGGGAGCCCACGCCGGCGTTTCGATTGAGGCGTCCCCACGATTGTGGCGCGAACGGGCAGGTGTCCTCCCCCTTTGGCGGCCCCCCCTGGAGTTGCCCAATCCTATGCCAGCGGCATCGCGGTGATTACATGGGGCCTTCAGAAGAGCAGTCGGGGAAGCCCAAGCTGGTGCTTCGATTGAGAGGTGCCCAGTCTGCGGGCGAACGGGCAAGAGTCCTACCTTCCAACCGCCTGGCGGCTCCTCCTTGTGGTGGCCAAGTGCAATGCCGGCTGCATTGCGATGGTCATGGGTGAGCGAGCCCGAGTACGAGTGGTGGGTCGGAGTCTGAGCCAGTCCGAGCGTCAGTCTGACTGTGAGTGCATCTTGGTGCGAGTGAGGGTGAGTGCAAGTCAGTCTGAATGAGAGCGAGTTCTGAGCAGGGGTGAATCTGGATGCGAGTTTGCATTATTTTGGAAGCGGAAACGCGACCTTGATCCGCCAGCCCCTTTGGGGGCCACCAGGCTGCGTGGGCGAAATTTCCACTTGCTGCAACCAATCCTCACCTCCTTTGTTCCAGGTCCTCGTCTCAAAAGATGAGACCGGCGGCACAACCCCAAGCAGGGGTCCCCTTTTTCCAAATCAGGTTCTGATAAATGCAGAGCACTGCGACACGAATCGTTGCTTGGCATTGAATTGTATTGCTCGGCGTTGCGTGGCGTTGCTTGACATTGATTGTCATTGGTTCACAACTGTTGGCATCGCTTAACGTTCCTTGGCGTTGCTCGACAAGTCTCGGTCGGCATTGCAAGGACCAGGGAACCCAAGGAACAAGACTGGGGGACCGAAGAAAGACCAGAGAGCCCAAAGAAAAATACGTACCAAAGAATCCGAGCAAAGCGGCAAGGAAACCAATACCAAGGAACCGGTTCACCAAAAAGTTATGTAGCTCTTCGGCAAAACTTAATTGGGGAACGCAAATGGTATGACGCGCGACCACCTGGCCTCGAAACGACCCCGTTACCACCTCGAAGTCACATCTTCAGAATTTCTGGGTGTCCTGGGGCACGAGAACACTACTTAAAGATGCGCCCTCCCAAGGCCACACTCCCATGTAGATAACGGCGGATGCGCGCTTCCGGAACCACACTGCGTTGTATGTACATTGCGATGCGCGCGCTCCCAGGGCCACAATCTCGTGTAAATTGAAACAGGTGCGCGCTCCCGAGGCCACAAAAAATGGTAAATTACAACGCGCGCGAGTTCCCAGGACCACAGTCCTCTTCACATCGGAGTAGATGCGCGCTCTGGAAGCCACAACGCCTTGCAGTTTACAACGCGTTCGCGATCCCGGGGCCACAATGCTTTACAAAACAATACATGTCCGCGCTCTCGTGCGAGCGACAATCCATGGTGCTTAGATTGTGACACATGCGCGCTCCCAAGGGCACTATACTTTGTAATTTACAGCGCAGGGGCACCCCCGATGCCATAATTGATCGTAGTTGCGACGTTCGCGCGTCCCCGATGCTGCTCTGAGAAGGAAACAGCTTGTATAACAGATGCTGGGCAATCTCAAGATGTTCAGCTATTCCCCCGCTGCCCTCACAAAATGTCCAATTATGGCTCCAAGACTGCACCCACACATCCCCAAATGGCTCTGATCTTGCCCATGATGACAGAGAGGGGGGGCTTGCGGCAAAAGGCGTAGCCCTTCAGATTCAAGTCCATACTGCGAAGCACGTCTGAGAGACGGCGTTGTTGGGCCAGTCGCAATATTACGAAATCTCAACATTATCACAAGTCATCTTGGAGGGCGAAAGAAGGGGCCCGCAACATATTGCCTTCAATGGGTGCTGAATGGCCAATCCATGGCTTATTTACATGAGCCGGCATGGTCGGCATCCCTTGCGCGTGGGCATATTGAGGCGGGAATGCGACGCTCGAGCGCTGTCCGTTGACGGTGCATCACCCAGCCTTTGCCGCTGGCACACGCTTTGTAGGATCCATTCGCTGCAAGACGCAAAATATGCATTCACAACTTGGGCAAACAACATAAGTAATGTGAATGCATATGGTGGAAAACGCTAAATGCGAATTCATATTTAGCAGCAGCGAAAACTGTGAATTCACACTTTCCAGTTTTAGTAATCTGTTTGAACGGCAGGCCGAAAATCTGAATTCACATGTTGGACACATTTAAAATGCGAGTTAACAAACGCAACATGTGAATCCACATTATAGAAAATCGTACCAAGCTGTCAATGCGCCCTGGGCGATGGCCCGCGACGCAGCAAGGCGGGTAGCGATGGTTGGGCGATGCGTTACCGCCAACGGACAACGCTCGAGCGTTGCATTCCTGACTCAAAACTCCGACGCGTAGTGGAGGCCAATCATACTAGAACAAATGAATGGGCGATACATAAGCCATAGAGGGGCCATTCAACACCCATTGAAGGCCTTCTGCTGCGGACCCCTCTGTTCAGCCTCCGGTCATCGGGGCAGCGGGGGGAGGGTGGGGGAGGGGGAGAGTGCTCCTGCGCCTCCGCCTGCCAGGGGGGGCAGGGAGGGTGCGGGGGGTGGACGAGGTGACGTCGGATCGGGGCCACGAGAGGGTCGTGCGCGGGCCTTCCCTTCCGCCCTCGAGCAGGGCAGGCTCGGCCCCGGCTAAGCGGTTTGACCCCACTGTCTCGGGCCCAGGGCGTGCACCCGACGCTGGCCAAGACCCATACATCCCCCCAAGCACGCGGTCCGAGGCAAACCCTCGCTTCCTCGAAGAGGGACGGGCGGCATCTTGACACTCCTTGGACCGATGTCGTCTATCTCGCCTGGTGGGCGCGAGAGAGAGAGAGAGAAACAACAAAAAACATAGAAAAAGAGATGCCCGCGCAACGCAGCATGCCAAGGAGGAACGAGGTGTTGAGGCTGGGCGCACACAGAAAGCAATGTCTGAAGCATGCATCCAGCCCCCCCGAACGGGCACCCCCGCGTGGCCACGGGCTGAGAGTCGAGACCGTCGCCCGCCAGCATGTAGCGGCGGTTGCCTGGCGGGAAGGAACGGGTGCACGCTTCCTGTCCACGCGAGGTCCACATGCAGATGCCGATGAAGCACACAGCGCAACACAGATGAGCCATGAGCGTGGCAAGGGGCCCCACCCTAGGCAGCTGCAGGTACCGCAAAATATGGCCCTCCCTCCTCGGGAACGCCTCGCGAGAGGGATGGATCACCGTGCCTCAGGTGGAGCTCCCCAGGGGCACGTGGCGTGTGAGGGGGGTGTCCGCATGGGCCGGGGGGGGCATTCGGCGGCTCCCAATACGCAATGCGGATTCTGCCACGCGGGGGTTCGGTGGAACTCTCTACGGTGCACCGCAGTTGGCACCGCGGATCCTGCCACTGGGGCTTTCGGTGGAACTGGGGCCACGAAGCGTGAAGGCGTATGATGCATATGCAAGTGACGTTGACCATGGTGGTGACGATGGGTGAGGTAACGGTCTTGAAACTGATGAGGGCGATGATGATGTTGATGATGATGAGGATAGTGCCGATGAGAGGGATTCACGGGGGAAGAGCGGGAGGTGGCAACGGGATGAGATGAGGTGCGGGGCAAAGCAGGTCGGGCCCCACTTCATCGGGCCCACTCCCCCGTTTCACGCCGAAAAATCGGCATCGTACGCTCTTGTATTATGAGATCGGAGATTTGGTATGAGGGTTCTTATCGGGTCGCGCGCGCGGAGAAAGCTAAGTAGGAAGGCAACGGGCGACAATAAGCAGCAGGAGGAGAAAGACCTGCAATTGGGAGTGGGCATAGAACGAGGATGCTCCCACCAGCCCTCTGGGCGTAGGTGGTTTAGAGCGTTTCCTCTTCCACCCCTCCCTCTTCCCCTTTGGGGAGGGGTTTACCCCTCCCCCTTACTCCCTCGCCTGAACCTGGACGGGGGGGCGGCGAGGTGTCAGGGCGTCCAAAACGGCCTCGACGAGGAAGCCAACATCATTGCTTTGACTCAGGTTTTGGTTCCAGTTTGGCCTCTCGAGGGGGCAACGCAAACTCCGACCATCCCCTTCTTTGATCGATGCCCTCCAAGATGGCCCCAAGAAGCGCCCAGAACCCCAAGAGGCCCCAAGATGGCCCCAAGGGGCCCCCAATAGGTCCCCAGGAGGCCCCCAAGAGGATCCCAAGCGGCCTCAAGAGGCCCCCCTCCGAGGCGCCCGAGACGCCCAAGAGCCCCCAAGGACCGCCGAGAGACCCCCAAGACGTCCCAAGAGGCCACCAAGAAGCGCCCAAGAGATATCCCAAGAGGCTCCGAGAGGCATCCAAGAGACCTCTGGTCCTTTTGCTTGCCCTCCTCCTCCTGCTCCTCCTTCCTCCTACCACTCCTTTTCTTCATCCTCCTCCTCCTCCTCCTCCTCCTCCTCATCCTATTACTATTCTTTCTCCCCACTCCCTCATCCATCCATCCAGCCTCCTCCTTCTCCTCCTCCTCCCTCCTTTGCACGGTTCGGCCGTCCCCCTCTTTGCTCTCGCACTTCCCTGATCACCTCAACCCGCCTGGACATCCTTTCTGGATGGGCTGGTGTTTTTTGGTCGCAACCGCAGGCGAAGGCGCCAACAGCGTCTCCAGTCGGCTCGGGCAACTGGTGGGGATACGCGAAGCCTCTAGAACTGATAAAAGGGGTTCTCAATCGGACTGGTCGGAGTAAGCATGCGGCCCTCCACAAAACGCGGCAGTGCTCGGACTCCTGGAGTGGGACGGGCAGGGCAACACACGGCAGTGATGATGGTGGGACTCGTGGCGTGGACCGGGTGCGTGGCGCGGCCCGCCTGGAGCGGGGCACTCGGTGCAGTGGGGGCTCGTGGAAGTGCGGAGCCGCGTCCTCTGGGCCGAGTGCAGCCAAGTCGAAGGCAGGCCGCTCCCGCCCGCCCGCCTCCCTCCTCCTGGCGCGCCGCCGAGCATCTGGGCGGCGCGCCAAGGGGTGGGGCGAGGGAGCACCTTCTCTGAGAACGCAGGGGGGCTTCTCGGAGGGCAGGAGGGCTCCCGAGAGGCCCCCCTGCCCTGGCAGCCATTCGCCGTGCCCCCCGACCAAGCTCACCCAAAACTCGTCCCCGGACTCCACGCAGAGGCCCGTCCTGACCAGTTTTTGAAGTCAAGCGTGGCCACGAGTGCGCCCCTCGAGGGCCGAAACGAGCCAAACACATCCACGAACCCGTTCTCGACCCCCGATCCCCCTCCATGCTCTGCCACCTGCTGCGCGCCGCCCATCCCCAAACCTCCGACATCGTTGTTTTTGCAGCACGCCGCGGCCCCCAGACCTTTCGACCCATGCCCTGGAGGCCCCGTTCATCGTCCCATGTCGTTCCTCGAAGGCCCTGGAGCCCGCACACGGGGCGAAGCCCAGGAAGCTGGACACATGTATTTAGCATGGGGGGGCAACGGGTCCTGCCTGGACCCTGGTGCCTTCCCCCGAGACGAGATCTTCATCCTGACTCGCTCTCTGACAGTCCCGGGGCTCTTGGAGGACCCGAGACCCCGAGAACGGCGAAAAAAAACCTCGGGACCCGTTTCCCTCAGGACCCGTCGCCGCTCCCCCCACGGCGCTTGACCCTCTGGACCTCGTCGTGACGCCCAACGTCGGGGGCTTTCTCTTCCCACACCGGCACGCGCCGGGCGCGGCCCGCCGCCCGACGCGAGGGGTTGGCCTTCTCTGCCTCCGTGGCTGGGCCTGCGCTCTATCCAGAAGGAGACGCCGTCCGCGCCGGTGCCGTCCTCGGGAGGGGACGGGCGCCCAGCCAGGCCCGTGCGAGAGATCGGCGGGCCTCGAATCTCGGTGGCGCGCCAGTGCGGGGGCGAGGTTGGCGGCCTTCTGGCAAGGGCAGCGGAGGGCTTCTTGGAAGGAGTCGGGGCTTCCAAGAAGGAAGCCAGTGCCAGGAAGGAGGAGAACAGGAGGAGGGCAGATGGGGGAGGAGGAATCGACGTGGTGGTGGTGGTGTATATTCCTGGGGCCCGCACCGTCCCCCTCACCGCATCCCCGTATGCGCGCCGCCATCTGATCGCGAACGTCCTGCCGACAGAGACCTGACGCCCAGCTGCGAACCGTGAAACTCGAGGCTCGAAGACGTGTTTGGTTCCTCTCGGTCAGGACGTCCAAAAACCGATACGAACACATCGAGGCGTTCGGCTTCCTGTCGTCTGGGCGACCAAAAGCCCGCATCGAGGACCTACGGCCGTCAACAACTATACGGGAATCAACAATGGCAGAGCATGATACCAGAGAACAACCCCAATCCGGTTTTTGTTGGGGCTATGGGGCTATAGGACTACAGGGCTATAGGGCTATGGGGCTATTAGGCTATATGGCTATGGGGGTATTAGGCTATATGGCTATGGGGGTATAGTGCTATAGGGCTATTGGGCTATGGGGGCTATAGGACTATAGGGCTATAGAGCTATAGGGCTATAAGGCTATAGGGCTATAGGGCTATAGAGCTATAGGGCTATAAGGCTATAGGGCTATAGGGCTATTGGGCTATAAGGCCACATGGACTATATGTGCTGTTGGGCTATTAGGCTATAGAGCTATAACGCTATAGGGCTACATGGCTATACATTATCCGGGCACCCCTGGGCAGCTCCAGGCACCCCCGAACACCCGGGCACCCACGGGCACCCGGGCACCACGGGCACCCGGGCACCCGGGCACCCGGCACCCGGCCACCGAAATCCTGGGACACCAGGCACCCACGGGCACCCGGGCACCCAGGCACCGGGCCGCCGGTCACCAAATCGGCGCCGCACCTCACCTGACCATATGAATCCGCTATGACCCCTACAGAGGCAAACTCTGATTGGGGAAATATCGAGTCGGAAATCCGCGCAAATGTCTTGGGTCGGCGCTGGAGCCCCCAGGGCCGGAATGCCAGCCCCAGGGAGGGAGTGGAGAGGTCTGGGGAGCCCACTTGGCGAACATATCGTGAGTTCGGAGGTCTGGGACCGACATGTCGCCAGCACCAGCTGCCAGTGCCACGAGTGGGTATACCAGGCATGATCTGAAAAGAGAGAGAGAGAGAGAGAGAGAAAAAAAAAAAAAGAAAGAGAGAGAAAAAGAGAGAGACAGACAGAGGGGGGCACGGGAGAGGCGAGATACTCCGCACCAGGTGAGGAGACCGCTCTGGCCGAGGCCCGCTCTGGCAGAAGCCTGCTTCGGCAGAAGCGTCTCTTTTCTCTGCGCCCTACTTATTGATGCTGGTTTCCCTCCTGCTACTCTCACTCATTCCTCACGCTCGTTCTCATTGCTTCTCCTCCTCCTCCTCCTCCTCCTCCCCCACTTCTCCTTCTCCCGCTCTCCCCCATCCCTTGTACATCTCCCCATCCCTCCCTCCCGCCCTTCCTGTCTCCCTCCTGCCGTCGCAAACGCCCTCGTCGCAGCCGCAGTGGACGTCGCCGTCGTCGCCTTCACGGCCGCCGTCGCTGTCGCCACCGTCGCCTTCGTCGCAATCGTCGTCGTCGTCGCCGTCGCCATCGCCATCGCCGTAACCGCCGTCGCCGCTATCGCAGTCACCGTCCGCCCGACCCGACCCGCCCGTTGGGGGGCCGGCGGTTCGGATCCGCCCGCCCGACCCCCGTTGCGACCCGCCCGTTGGGGTCCGTTCGCTCGACCCGACCCGCCCGTTCGGGTTCACGCGTGCCCACTCGAACGCGCACCACGAGAGCTCACTCCTGCCAGGCCCGACCCGCCCGCTGGTGAAGGCAGCCCGGGCTGGGCGAGTGGCTTGGAGGAGGAGGAGGAGGAGGAGGAGGAGGAGGAGGAGGAGGACCTGAGGAGGAGGAGGACCCCACGCCCACCACAGCACGTCTTATATATGTTCAGTAATTCGTGTCAGACGGGTCGGGAACGCCCTAAGACGGCCAAAGAGGCCCCCAAGAAGCCCCCAAAGGCCCCCCAAAAGCCCCCAAGAGGCCCAGGGAGGCTGCCAAGAGGCCTCCAAAAGCCTCCCAGGAAGCTCCACAGAGGCTTCCCAAGAGGCCTCGCAAGACGGTTCCCAAGAAGTCTCATCCTCCTACTCCTCCTCCTTCCCCATCATCCTCATCCTCATCCTCATACTACTCATCATCTTCCTCCCTCTCCTGATCGTGCTCCTATTGCTCCCCCACGCGTTCCTCGAAGGCTTTCCAAACCGACTCGGGGAACAACTGGCCCGATAGCTTGGCCAAGCTCTAGCCAAGCTGTCGGCCACATAGGCGCTTCCAAAAGGGCAGGGGGCGGCGGTGTTTCGCCGTAGGCGTCTTCGATCCGCCGCCCACTGTTGGCTTGCCGCAGGGGTGCCTGGCGTGCTAAATCCTACGGTCTTTGGTCTTGTTTTTCCCAAAGACCTCTCCCTTGGGCTCCTCCTGATCTTCCCCGCCATCCTCCCGTAAATGTTCCCCGATAAGGGTTTCCACAACGGCTGGGGGAACGCATGGTCCGACAGCTTGGCAGAGCTCTTGCCACAACGCTCAGTCACATGGGCGATTCCAAGAGGCAAGGGGCGGCGACGATTCGCCGCAAGCGTCTTCGATGCTCTTATGTCCCGCCCGCACGACCCGATCCGCCAGTCAAGGTGCGCCCGCCCGACCCGAACCGCCCGTTAAGGTGCGCTCGCCCGACCCGTCTCGCCCGTTGGGGCTCACGTGTGCTCACTCCCCAGACATCCGATGTCTCGATTGTTTCGAGACACGGGCCCCCGACCTCCCGACCACTTCCCCGGGACCGGTTTTTCATCCCGAGTCGTTTTTTGACGGTCCCGAGGCCCGGCGAGGGCCCCGAGAGGCCGAGAACGACGAGAAACCTCCGTCTCGATTTGTTCGAGACGCCCGATGTCTGGGTCGAGCGTGCATCACACTTTAACGTCCCGCCCGCCCGACCCGATCCGCCCGTTGGGGTCCGCCCGCCCGACCCGACGCGCCTGTTATAGGGTGCGCCCGCCCGGCCCGACCCGCCCATTCGTGCCCGCCCGCCCGACTCTGCGGTCGAGTGGCAGGAGCAGTGGGTTCGGGCACCGGTCAACGTCGTTGGCCGTGCCTCGCGCTCGGCGCGCCGCGGTCGCGTCTGCTGCTGGCGCGGGGCAGTGGCAGCGCACCCGAGGATCGCCAAGCGCCGTTTGAAAATGCGCCTATGTGCTTTCCCTTTTCCTCCTCGGGCCTCCCTGTCAGCTTCCGCCTATCCTCCACCCCCCTCCTCCTCCTCCTCCTCCTCATTCTCCTCCTCCTCCTCCTCCTCCTCCTCCTCCTCCTCCACGCACTTGCCTCCCACCTGTCTCGCGCCTTGGCGCCTGGGGGAGTGAGTGGGCCTCTGGCCGTCTGGGCTTCCGGGCGAGCGGTCTCCTCCGAGCGAGCGGGCTTCTGGGCGAGCCGTCTCCAGGCGGGCTTCCAGGCGAGCGGGCTTCTGCGCGAACGGTCTTCGGGGCGAGCGGTCTCCCGGGGAGCGGGCTTCCGGGCGAGCGGTCTTCTGGGCGAACGGTCTCCGGGTTTCCGGGCTTCCGGGCCAGGCGGCCTCCGGGCGAGCGGGCCAACAGATCCGTGGCGTCGTGGCTGCCCGACCCGAAGTGGACCCTGAGGAACCCACGTCCACGCACTGCCGCTGCACACGCCAACATCTCTTCAGCGAGCTCCATCGCCCGTCTGGTACAAACTTTCGACCCGATTCGCGAACGTTCAGTGTAGCACCTCCTGAACTCAAACAATGAAGAAACAAGATGTCACGTGTGACGGCCTTCCTCTTCCTCCTCTTCCTCCTCTTCCTCCTGCTCCTGCTTCTCCTCCTCCACCTCCTCCTCCTCATCATCACCATCATCATCGCCATCACCAACACTATCAGCACCATCACCATTACCAACACCATCCTCAACCTCACCATCTCCAAGACCATCTCCATCACCATCATCACCCTCACCCTCATCCTCGTCCTCAGCATCCTCATCATCAACACCATCAGTATCATCAACATCATCATCCACATCCTCAGCCTCATCGTCATCATCCTCATTATCATCCTCATCCTCATCACCACCACAACCATCATCACCATCATCATCACCATTAATCATAATCACCACCACCAACAACCGCATCAGCCTCCTCATCCTCCTCATCATCATCACCATCCCTGCTATCATCATCAACATCATGATTATCACGGCTCTCCCCCAACCCTTGAGACACGAGGTGTCACACGGGACAGCCGTGCCCTCGAAAGCAATCGCCACCCATAATGCTGGGCTGGTACTGTGGCGGGACTTACCGCAGGCAGCGGGAGAAGTAGCCGAGTCTGTCAAGCAGCGTGAGCAGCAAACAGTGTGGCACTGCACTGTGGAGGCGGAAGCTCTGCGATATTATCAATGTGGTGTCAGCTACGTCGTGTAAGATATGTCTTGTCGGCACTGTTGTGCGAGCAAAGCGGTACGAGCTATGTGGTGTGAGCTATGCGGTGTAAGCTACGTGGTGTGATCTGGTGTGCAGGCTGTGCGGTATGAGCTATGCTGTGTAAGCCGAAGCTGTTACTCACCCAGGGCGGCGAAACCTCGGCGGACCCAGCCAGGGCACGGGGCTCCCACGACCGCCAACGAGGCGGCACGGGCGCGAGCGTGGCGAAACCTCGGCAGACCCGTTCGAGTACTCGGCAGGAGACGTGAGACAACCTCAGTGCAGCATGTTTGGGGAACGAGGACCAATGATATAAAGAGCAGGGTGAGGAGGGGAGGAGGAGCGCGAGGGCCACGAGGACCAGGCTCCTGATCGGCGTGCAGCACGAGGCCCGCGGTGCCTGCCCAGGGGGTGCACAAAACGACGGCAGGACACACAGCGGAAAGATACGAAACATGAGCCCGGCGGGTCCGCAAGCACAAGCGCGCACGACACGCGCACACGCACACGCACACGCACACGCACACGCACACGCATACTCACACGCACCCGCACCCGCATCCGCACCCGCACCGGCGCACCGGCGCACCGGCGCACCGGCGCACCGGCGCACCGGCGCACCGGCGCACCGGCGCACCGGCGCACCAGCGCACCGGCGCACCCGCACGCACCCGCACGCACCCGCACGCACACACACACACACACAAACACCCGCACCCGCACCCGCACCCGCATCCGCAACCGCACCCGTACCCGCTCAGACGCACCGGCACGCACCCGAACACGCACCCGCACCCGCACCCGCACCCGCACCCGCACCCGCACCCGCACCCGCACACACACACACACGCACACGCACACGCACACGCACACACTCGCACACGAACACACACACGCATCCGCGCACGCTCACGCACACGCGCACGCACACGCACACGCACACGCACACGCTCACGCACACGCACACGCACACGCACACGCACACGCACACACGCACGCACACGCACACACATACACACACACACACACACACGCACCCGCACCCGTACTCGCACACGCGCACGCGCACGCGCACCCGCACGCGCACGCGCCCGCGCGCGCCCGCGCACGCGCACACGCACGCGCAGGCGCACGCGCACGCGCACGCGGACGCACAGGCACACGCACACGCACACGAACACGCACAAGCACACGCACACCCACACGCACGCACTCTTTTCTTCTGGTGCGCCAGTGTGGAGCAATCAGTGGATCAAGTTGCACCAGGAGGGTTCCCGAAAACAGTGAATTGTCAACCTACTGCGACGGCGAAAACAAGGCATGCACCTCCAGTGAGGAACGAACCTAGTCCACCGCTGGGCAGCCAATATGAGGGGCAACGATAGGGGGGGATAGGATCAAGGGGGGAAACATCGACCTGGAATCGGCGATACATCGCCGATAGATCGGCGATGGGCCCCCGATAGCGAATCTGCACGTTCCTGGGCTGGTTGGAGCTATTGGGCCCCCATCGGCGATCAATGTGCGATTGGGGGTCGATGCATCCCCCCTATGCCTATCCCCCTCTATCGTTGCCCCTGACACTATGGGCGGGCACACGCACAGACATACCAACTCAACGCCCTAACTACATGTGACATCGGTCGTGAACTCAGCATGCACGCGAAAATGGCCGCCCCAAAAACCGTTCTCATTTCCACACGGAACCTCGTACACGGCAAACAAGACGTCCCAGCCGGGCCCAAGAGAGTCCGCGGGCGAGCGGCGAGGAACAAAGATCGAAGTGGTAAAGGTGTTTGAGTCCGTGCGGAGCCTCTCTCTGGGTGCGCCCCCGCGGCCGCGGATGGTTTCGCCCCGAAACACTGATGAGGGGCAACGATAGGGGGGGATAGGCTCATGGGGGGAAACATCGAGCGGCAATCGGCGATACCTCGCTGGTAGATTGGCGATAGGCCCCCCATAGCAAATATGTACACTCACAGCGATGAATGGGCGCTCGAGGGTCGATGTCTCCCCCCCTCCTGCGCCTCTTTCCCCCCTGACTTTTGCCACGGAGTGCTGGACCTCTCTGCTGCACCACGGAGGGCTTCCCCTTTGGAAACTCCCGCCGCGACGGGCCCGGGGGCCGCCTTGCGGGGAGGGGGCCCAGACCTCGGGTGGCATGGACAACACCGCCTCTCGTTGTCTGTCGCCACGTCTGGTGCCCGTACCAGTCTGGAGGCAACTATGAAGGGGAACTGGGACACACAAATGAATGCACACAAATAAAAGTACCCCCCATATTTTCCTATATTTTCTGGGTTCTTGTCTTCCCCCCCACTTCCCATATTTTCCCATATTTTCTGGGAATCGCCGATTAATTGCGTCTGTGTGTTTCTTCCCCTCCTGAACCATGTCTGGTGCCCGTACCAGTCTGGAGACAACTAACGAGACAAGATCGAAGCCGCGCCGCGGGGAAGCACCACGCCAAGAGCCCACCGCGCCCGCCAACTTTGCGGGGGCCGCTCGACAAAGAAAGTCCAAATGACGCATCGCCATTAGCCACCAGGCGGCGTCGGGTGAGTTGCGACCGGGCTTCTGTAGGTCACCTAACTTCGCGCGTCGCGCCCCGCGACGTGCGACGAGCGATGGTCTTCGCGCCCTCGCACCGCCTCCCCGGAGAAGGGCGCCCCTCCAGCCCAGGCCACGATGCGCGAAGCGCGATCACCTTCGCGCCCCTCAAGATGAAGGGGCGCCAGGATACACAAATAAATACACACAAATAAAAGGATTGCCCATATTTTCCTATATTTTCTGGGTTTCTGTCTTCCCCCCCACTTCCCATATTTTCCCATATTTTCCTGGGGGTCGACGATTAATTGTGTCTGTGTGTTTTTTTCCCTCCTGACAAGAGGCCTCCCCCATGGGGTCCGAGCAGGAAGGGTCGGAGGATCGCAGCGCCTCGCCAGTATCTCGTCGGTGCAACGGCGACGTCGGCGATGCATCGGCGACGCCGGCGTGGAGAAAGTGGGGCTCCACACCGAGCCGCCCCCCCGATGCATCGGGGATGCGGAGCGAACCTCTGGCCCCATCTGCTTGGACCCCATGTGGGATGCCTAGACCCCTGGAGGTGACCCGGCACCCACGAGTCGGACTGTCGAACAGCTGCCCGGGCTTGCCCCCAGGGCTCGAGAGGCCTGGAGGCGGGCGACTCCAACAAATTGGCCATCGGAGGTCTTGGATCGTACCTGGATCTGGAGCTGCGAGGAGCGCTCGGGGAGCGAGCACAAACAAGGAGGGACCCCAAGAGCCCCGAGCCGTTCTCAAATCCAAGCGGTACTTGATTTGGCCCGCAAGGGCAGGAGGGCACGAAAGAGCAAGAATTATTTGATGTGGCTAGATCAAGCCGTTCTTACATGCTTTGGCCCGAACGAGCAGGAGGGGGAGGGGGAGGGGGATGCATTGGTCGACAACTAGTCATGGTTGGCTCTTCTGAAGCCTCTGGGGACCTGACGAGACCGCCGGAGACCCCCGGGGACTTTTCCACGCAGGGGATGCGGGGACCCCCCAACTCTGGCGACGAGGACGAGCACGAGGACGAGCACAAAAACGAGGTGGTCCCCACCCGTGCAGGCTCCACTCCTCCCCTGGCCTTCCCGCCCCTGCTGTCCCGCTGTCCTCTCTCCCCGCAGTCGCTCGACCCACCCCCCGCTGGGGCCCTGCCACCTCCTCCCTCCTGGGCCCTTCCACCTCCAACAACTCGCTCGCTCCCCCTCGCTCCTCTTCCCGTACCCTTCTCGATGGTGCGCTCCAGGGCGGGGTGAGCACCCAGATCTCCGATGCATTGATCTTTGTTGATGCGGCGTCACCGACCCGTTCCCCATGGCTGATTTTTCATATCGAACAGGTGCGAGGGCCCTCAGAGGCCGAAAACGGCGAAACGCTTATGTATAGTGTGGGTTTTCAATACCTTGGAGGTCTAGGCAAGCGCTCTTTGGAGCTTTGGGGGTTCCCCAGCCTGGATAGGGCAGGCTGACCGTGAACTGCAGCAGGTAGCTGTCCAGCGCGCCAGACTTGATCCAGAAGAGCGGGGTGTCGCCCTGGGCGCCACCCGCACGAGGAGGGACGGGGAGGGGCACGGGGAGGGGAGGGGTGCAGGAGACAGGGGACCAGGGCGGGGGAATGCGGAGGGGGAGGGGGAAAGAGGGGGGGGGAGGGCAAAGGGGGGAGGGGACAGGGAGGAGGGAGGAGCGCAGTGACCAGAGATGGAGCAGTCATCGCCCCGGGCACTGCAGGCTGTGCAGACGACGAATACAGCATGGCCTCCTCTACTAATTCCACCAGCACTTAGGGCGTAGGTGGATTAGGGCGCTTCCTCTTCCAACCCCATTCTTCCCCCTCGGGGAGGTGGCGACCACTGCCCCTCATTACATCGACACCCCCTCCCTCCCCCACACGACTGGCGACACACAGGGGCCAATGACCCCTCCCCCGACATCTCTTGCAAGAACCACTGCAGTGTACATATGGCACCAAAATCAGGTTCGTGCGCGGACGCCCCGCGATCACTTCGCATCGGTGTTTGACACATGCGGCGGTATGGGCGGGTTGATGCATATTGTCTGCTGTGTGCACTGCGAACACCTTTCACCATCCCTTTCAAAAACAATGCGAAGTACACTTTGACAAACAATCTGGATCATGTGCGGGCGCCCTGCGATCCCTCGGCAATTGTTTATAACAAGGACGCCGAGAATGCCTGCATAATGCCCGCTGTGTCCACTGTCCCCCCACCATCCCTTTGAACAATTTAGCCTGGCGGAAGAACCCATCGTATGCCGTTGTGAGTCCCGCGTTGTGGGTACCGCGTTCGATGAATCCCTAAAAGGGCCACGAAACGCGTGAGGGGTGTGCCGTAGTGGAAGGGGGAGACGCATCATGCGGCCACGGCCCCTGGGGTCTTCGGTGGAGCTCCCTTTGGGGGCCACGCAGCGCTGTACTGAGAGGGGGAGACGTATGCGGCCGCGGCCACTGGGGCCTTCGGTGGGGCTCCCTATGGGAGCCACGAGGCGCTGAGACGCATGCGGCCGCGACCACTGGGGCCTCCGGTGGAGCCCCCTATCGGGGCCACTCAGCGCTGTACTGGGTGGGATAGGCGCATGGGGCCGCGGTCACTGGAGCCTTCGGTGGAGCTTCCCATGGGGGTCACGCAGCGCTGTACCGGGTGGGGGAGGCGCATGCGGCCGCGGCCACTGGGGCCTTCGGAGAAGCTCCCTATGGGAGGCCACGCAGTGCTGTACTGGGTAAGGGAGGCGCATGGGGCCGCGGTCACTGGAGCCTTCGGTGGAGCTTCCCATGGGGGTCACGCAGCGCTGTACCGGGTGGGGGAGGCGCATGCGGCCGCGGCCACTCGGGCATTCGGTGGAGCTCCCTATGGAGGCCACGCAGCGCTGTACTGGGTAAGGGAGGCGCATGGGGCCGCGGTCACTGGAGCCTTCGGTGGAGCTTCCCATGGGGGTCACGCAGCGCTGTACCGGGTGGGGGAGGCGCATGCGGCCGCGGCCACTCGGGCATTCGGTGGAGCTCCCTATGGAGGCCACGCAGCGCTGTACTGGGTAAGGGAGGTGCATGCGGCCGCGGTCTTTGGGGCCTTCGGTGGAGCTCCCTATGGGGGGCCACGCAGCGCTGTACCGGGTGGGGGAGACGCATGCGGCCGCGGCCACTGGGGCCTTCGGAGAAGCTCCCTATGGGAGGCCACGCAGTGCTGTACTGGGTGGGGGAGACGCATGCGGCCGTGGCCACTGGGGCCTTCGGCGGGGCTCCTTACAGGGGCCACGCAGCGCTGTACTGGGTGGGGGAGACGCATGGGGCCGCGGTCACTGGGACCTTCGGTGGAGTTCCCTGTCAAGGCCACGAAACGATGTACTGGGTGGGGGAGACGCATGCGGCCGCGGCCACTGGGGCTTTCGGTGGAGCTCTCTATGGGAGCCACGAAGCGCTGCACTGGGTGGGGGAGACGCGTGCGCCCTGGGCCCTAGGGTCTGCGGTGCAGCTCCGTATGGAGGCCACGCAGTGCTGTACTGGGTGGAGGAGAAGCATGCGGCCGCGGTCACTGCGGCTTTCGGTGGAGCTCCCTATGAGGGCCACGCAGCGCTGTACTGGGTGAGGGAGACGCATGCGGCCGCGGCCCATGGGGTCTTCTGTGGAGCTCCCTTTGGGGGCCACGCAGCGCTGTACTGAGAGGGGGAGACGTATGCGGCCGCGGCCACTGGAGCCTTCGGTGGAGCTCCCTATGGGAGGCCACAGCGCGCTGTACCGGGTACGGGAGACGCATGCGGCCGCAGCTTCGGTGAGGCTCCCTATGAGCGCTGTACTGGGTGGGGGAGACGCATGCGGCCGCGGCCACTGGGGCCTTCGGTTGAGCTCCCTATGGGGGCCACGCAGCGCTGTACTGGGTGGGGGAGGCGCATGCGGCCGCGGCCCCTGGGGCCTTCGGCGGAGCTCCCTAAGGGGGGCACGCAGCGCTGTACTTGGCGGGGGACGTATGCGGCCGCGGCCACTGGGGCCTTCTGAGGAGCTCCCTAAGGGGGCCACGCAGCACTGGGTGGGGGAGACGAATTGGGCCGCGGCCAGTGGGGCCTTCGGTGGAGCTCCCTATGGGGGCCACGCAGCGCTGTACCGGGTGGGGGAGACGCATGCGGCCGCGGCCACTGTGGCCTTCGGCGGGGCTCCCTAAGGGGGCCACTGAGCGCTGTACTGGGTGGGGGAGACGCATGCGGCCGCGGCCACTGGGACCTTCGGTGGAGCTCCATGTGGGGGCCACGCAGCGCGGTATTGGTTAGTGGGGGACGCATGTGGCCTCTGCCACTGGGGCCTTCGGTGGGGCTCCTTATGAGGGCCATGGAGCGCTGTGCCGGGTGGAGGAGACGCATGGGGCCGCGGCCACCGGGGCCTTCGGTGGAGCTACCTATGGGGCCACTCAGCGCTGTACTGGGTGGCGGAAACGCATGCGGCCGCGGTCTCTGGGGTCTCCGGTGGAGCTTCATATGGGGGCCACGCAGCGCTGTACTGGGTGGGGGAGGCGCATGCGGCCGCGGTCTCTGGAAGCTCCTTATGGAGGCCACGCAGCGCTGTACTGGGTGGGAGACGCATTCGTCTGCGGTCACTGGGGCGTTCGGTGGAGCTCCCTGTGGGGGCCACGCAGCGGTGCATTGGGTGGGGGAGACGCATGCGGCACTGGGGCCTTCGGTGGAGCTCCCTATGGGAGCCACGCATCGCGGTATTGCTTCGGGGGGCGCATGCGGCCGCGGCCACTGGGGCCTTCGGCGGAGCTCCCTATGGGGGCCACGCAGCGCTGTGCTGGGTGGAGACGAAATATGCGGCCGCGGCCACTGGGGCCTTCGGCGGAGCTCCCTAAGGGGGCCACGCAGCGCTGCACTGGGAGGGGGAGACACATGCGGCCGTGGCCACTGCGGCCTTCGGTGGGACTCCCTATAGGGGCCACGCAGCGCTGTTCTGGTTGGGGAGACGGATGTGGCCGCGGCCACTGGGGCCTTCGGTGGAACTCCCTTTGGGGGCCGCGCAGCGCGGTACTGGTTTGGGGGGGGACGCATGTGGCCGCGGCCACTGGGGCCTTCGGTGGGGCTCCCTATGGGGGCCACGAAGCGCTGTACTGGGTGGGGGAGACGCATGCGGCCACAGCCACTGGGGCCTTCGGTGGGACTCCCTACGGGGCCGCGAAACACTGTACTCGGTGGGTGAGACGCATCCGGACTGCGCCACTGGTGGAACTACCTGTGGGGTCACGAATCGTGCGAAAACTGTGCCGTAATGAATGGGGGAGCACTGGATCACTCGGTGGAACTCCCTATGGGGCCACAAACTTTGAGGGGTGTGTGTGTGTGTGTGTGTGCCGTAATGAGTGGATGAAGCGCATGCGGATTGCGTCACTGGGGCCTTCGGTGGAGCTCCCCATGGGGCCACGAACCGTGGGAGCGGTGTGCCATAATGAGTGGAGGAAACGCATGCGGATTGCGTCACTGGGGGGCCCTCGGCGGAGCTCCCTATGGGGCCACGAGCCGCGCGAAGGGTGCGTCGTAATGGATGAGGGAGACGCATGCGGACTGCACCACTGGTGCCTGTAATGGAATTCCCGATGTGGCCACGAACCGTGAGAGGGGTGTGCCGTACTGGATAGGGGGGGCGCATGTGGAGTGCGCCACTGGGTCCTTCGGTGGAGCTCCCTAGGGTCACGAAACGTGTGAGTGGTGTGCCGAAATGGACATGCGGAGGGCAAGGGACAGGAGAGGGAGATGGAGGAGGGATGGGAGGAGAGGGAGGACGAAGGAATGGGGGAGGGAACGCGGGGCGAGGCGCTTCAAAACGAGGACCCAACACCACAGGATGGTTGGGGGAAGAAGCATACATCAGCGAACCCACATTCAGAACGTGCGCGGTCGCCGCGCGATTCACCTTGCGTGGGTGCAGGACCTGGGGCGGCGGGGGTGCCCACACACCGCCTGGTGCGTGCAGGCCCAGCGGCCTCTTCAGCAACCGGACACAGGATGTGCACTCTGCAAGGGACGTCTGCGGGAGCGGCACACTGCCTGCTGCGCGTAGGCACACCATCCCTGTCGAAAACAAATGCACAATGACTGCGGGTGCACACACAATACATAATGCTGGCAAGCCCTGCGTCACGTCGCACTTGTTTGTGACAAAGATGGTGGGGAGGTCGACATATTGCCCAATGCGGCGCACCTGGTGCGCGTGGCGCACCTGGCACGTGCAGTGCGTCACGCGGGCGTCTCGCGCCTGGCTGGCGACTGCATTGGTTCCCAATGGTTGTCGATAGCGGCCCATTCCTATGCTGAGACTCGGGTGCTAAGTACTTATGTAGTGGGGCGGCAGGTGGGAACGAACGACACAGTTTGCAGCGTTCCCGCTTGGGGAACTTGACCCCTCCACCCCTACGAGGGCTCAAAGGCAACCCAAAAGAGCTCTGACTCCGACAGGGGGGACTGGCATTGAGACCGCCCTCCCTCTTTGATCGACGGCCTCCAAGATAATTTCCGAGAGGGCGCGCAAGGCTCTCAAGAGGCCCCCAAGAGTGCCCCTGAGAGGGCCCCAAGAGAGCCCCAAAAGCATCCCGAATGGCTCCAAAAGGGCCCCCGGATGGCCCATGCACGCCATCAGCAGGCTCCAATATCGAAAGATCCGTGAACGCATTCGTGTGGTTGACTCGTGGGTCTGCTCAGGCTAATCCCGAACTTTGGTCTGACGGCTGCCCCCTCCTTTGTTCTTCTGATCTAAAGGGGCCCCAGGACACACAAATAAACATATGTTCCCATATTTTCTAAGTTTTTGTCTTCCCCCCCACTTCCCATATTTTCCAGGGAATCGACGATGAATGGTGTCTGTGTGTTTTTTCCCCTCCTGATGATCGCTCCTGGGCTGCTTCCCTGATCAGACGGATCCAGCCGCGGCGACGAGAAGCCCCCGGAAGCCCACGAAAGGACCCCCAACGGCAACATCTTGCTCGTCGCCACCGCTCGCACGTCCCATCCTCCGTGCATTTTTACGGTCTCGCGTGTGCACTTTTTTCGGGGATGGACAGACCTCCCTTTAGTAAAACGAGGTTTAGTGAAAACGACCTGAGGCCTGAGGCCCAAACCTGGCGGGCGCAATCCTGGAAAATAACGGCCGCGGCGCCCTCTCGAGAACCGAAAACGGACAATTCACTAATCGACGTGTCACTGTTGGGGGTTCTGTCCACCCCCGATTTTTCGGTAAGATGACCCAGACATGCTCCTCGATTGCCCTTGCCCCCCCCCCCAAAAAAAAACGCTGGCACACGTCCGAGCGGTGCCGGGGCTCTCGCCATCGCCGACGGCCACCCCACTTCCCACACGGGGCGGCACCGCGCCACGCCCGCCCCCCCCACCCGCCGGCCTGGAGGGTGAAATTCCAGGCGCCGAGGACCTGCACGTCGTCGAACTTCCGGTCCGCCTTCACGCCACCGCCCCACCTCGTCGTCGACATGCCGGGGGCGCCCCAGGCACCGCCCGCCCGCAGAGGCCAGCGAGCGCGAGGCGACCACCGTGCAGATAGGGGCCCCGACGGGGGGGCGGAGGAGCGCTGGCCTGGATCAGCGCTTCCCTAGGGCAGCCAGGGCAATGCGCACGTTGCGGCAAAACCTTGGACTATGCGCGGGCACCCCGCGAAAACGTTGTATTGTCGGTTCACGGGGACGGTGGGGGTGCCCTCACATGGTCTAGTGCGCGCGGGTACACGGTCCGGGATGTTGCATTCGCTTCTGACAGTGATGGTCGGGTTGGGCGACATGTTTCCCGATGCGTGCTGTCCCGTGCAAACATTCGGCTCACTTGGCGCATGTGGAGCACGTGGCGCATCTGGCGCGCGAAGTCTCTGGGACATCTGGAACACAGAATGCGCGTGGCGCACCCCGCCAGCATCGCGCACCTGAAATCTGTATTTTTCCCCAATGGAGGTTTCATCCAACGGCGACCGCGGGATATGCAGACTCGGGTGTTCTTTTCGTATAGGAAATATATACGAAATGACATTTAGTTCGGCTGACGCCTGTCAACTCGCCAGATATGAAAAGGATCCGCCACAGCGCCGCGAGGCACGAGTTCGAGCGCCCTCAGGTCCCGGAGACTCCTCCGTCTTCAATCCTGATACTTTGAAGGGCTTACGCCCCGGAAATCTGGGCGATATCGCCGCTCCCTGGACTTCTCGCGTGATTTGTTTGGAGCCCTGGAGGGCCCCGAACTGCCCCGAAGGCGGTCCAAAAACGCCCCGAGTCGCCCGAAGATCGCTCCAAGACGCCCGAGATGGCCTCCAGACTCCACATGGCCCACGAGGCCCCCGAGACGCACCAAGAGGGCTCGAAGAGGCCGCAAAAGAGAGCTTCGGGAGGCCAAACTCAGTGATTGTGTAATGTCTGAAAACGAATCAAATAATAGTTCATATGGGGGGACAGTTAAACACATCTTTTCCCAGCGCTGGAGTGCGCATGTAGAGAACAAAAGAAGGCAAAGCAAACTGGACTGCCAGGGACGTCCCCGCGACCGCCCTGGCACTCCGCGTGCAGGGGCGGAATCCTGCGCACCCCATGTTGGCATCAGTCCGCGCATGCCACGCCCTGCGAACTTGGCATGGACAGAGAATGCGCTCAGGGACCACACCCTGCGCACCCTCTCTGGGTCGCGAACGTGCTACACCTGACACGCCTGGCGAGCTTGAGTGGATCGAAACCGCGCTCAAGGATCACTCCATGCACGCCCTCCCTCACTGGCGCCGAGAAACTGCCGCCGCGCGTGCGGCGGCCTTGCTCCCTTCTTTGTGGGGAACGCCGACCATGCGCGAGGGGGGCAAGGCCGCCGGGTGCGCGGCGGCCTTGGCCCAGTCAGTGTGGGACAAAGAGAAGTCCGCGAAGGGCAAGGCCGCAAGGCTTCGGTGGCGGTGGCGGTGGCAAAGTCCGCGAAGGGCAAAGCGCGAATGGTAAAACCCCGTGCAACTCGCCGCATTCGACGCGAAGCCCGACGCGTGATCTGGGCTGGAGAACCGCGCGCGCACGCTGCGCGCGGGAGGCGCGCGCGGTGGCGCTGGGCCCATGAGGCAGCCAAGACTACCGAGCGCGAACAGTGGACGCCACCTCGCGCAAGGTCGCGCAGTCGCGCGCGTACGTGTGTACAGTCGAACGAAGTACGCGTCGACGCGTATAGTGTCCTACGTCAGTGCGCAGTCGCGCGCGTACAGTGTCCTACGTACGTCGACCGAAGTAGCCTGCACATCTGCACGCATACAGCTCTTACGCAGATGCCAATGCACGCGAGTGCGGTCGTATGTATGCACATAAGTGTATACAAACATACATCTGTGCATTTATCTATCGCATAGTTCGGTCTCCGTGGAGTATTTCCCGGGGGGCACGAAAAACATAACCATTCGGCGGCGAAGTAATGGCAGTCGCGGGATCCCGGTGGGAGAGGGGGGCTATTATCTTTAAAACAGGTTTTTGACATTTAAGGGCTTCAGAATTCTAGCCTTGTTGGGCTTTCGACGCTCCAAGACGGCCCTCAAGGCCCTCAGGGTCGCCCAAAGACGGCCCACGAGGCCCACAGGAGGGACCCAAGAAGGGCCAAAGAGAGGGCCCAGGGGGGGAACGCGAACCGATATTTCGAACCCTCCGCCCCAAGACGGCCTCCGAGACCGCCAAGGACTCCAGGAGCCCCGACACGCGGCAGCGGCCTCGGCCACGCTCTCTGCCACTGGTCCGACCTGCGCTTTGCCCGCTTGACTTCAAGGCCACGTGCGGAACTCGGGAGCGGCCAAGAGGGGGGTGACCAAGAGGGGGGGGGTGCAAATCATGACCGGCGGCATGTGCGCGGCCCAGGGGGGGACCAGGGACGTAATGAAGTAAGAAGAGGCGCCATGAGATCTGGGGAGCTATCATGGCCCCCGTCATGATATCCACCCCCCCCCCTAGTCATCACCCCCCTCTTTTCCGCCCCCGAGGAACACACGACGTAAGCAGCCGACAACCGCGCCGGGGACTAACTACCTACCAGACCACCCCAACCGAACCCGAAGACCCAAATTTCGGGTTGGGGGGGGTAAGGGTTCCACACGAGTTTTTTCGATGTTTCCCGACCCCCCCCCCACTGGAAATCGAGGGTAAATCTGAGCCTTCGGGTTGGGTTGGGGTGGTTTGGTGGGTGGTGAGGGACAGCCGGGGACGGCGGGGGAACGGGCCGCAGGCAGCCCTCCGCGGCAGCCCCCGCGCGGCCGCGCGGGGGGCGCGCCGCGCCCGGCCGAGCGGCCGCCGCGCCGCGCCGGGCCGCGCAGCGCCGCGCCGCGCGCCCCGCGCCCCGCGCCCCGCCCCTCCCCCTCGGCGCCGAGCCGGGGCGCGGGCGGAGCGGCGCGGCGCCGGGGCGTGCAGCCGCATGGTGCGTGGGGCTCAAAGTGTACCCAGACATCCGATGTCTCGATTGTTTCGAGACACGGGCCCCCGACCTCCCGACCACTTCCCCGGGACCGGTTTTTCATCCCGAGTCGTTTTTTGACGGTCCCGAGGCCCGGCGAGGGCCCCGAGAGGCCGAGAACGACGAGAAACCTCCGTCTCGATTTTTTCGAGACGCCCGATGTCTGGGTAGGGGGGGCCCACACAAAACGCACGCGCCCCATCATGTGCGTGAGCACGGCCCTCGATCCGCGAGGCCGGTCGCGCGACAGGAGCGTTCGCGCAGGGCGTGCTCTCGCAAACGGCGCGGGCTCCTGTGCGCGTAATTACGTCCTCCCTTCGCTCCTGACGAGGTGTGAGGTCGAAGTCGCCGGCGGGTCCGCGGACAGCGGCGTGGACACCGAGAGCGGGCCCGCACAGCGAGGATGCCTCGGAGCCGGACGGAGCCCCCGGGGGGCCGCTCCGCTGCCCCCCGGGCGAGCGCGGCACAGCGCGGCGCGGCGGGGGGGCCCCCGGGGCAGGCGGGGCCCCAGGGCCGCGGCGCCAAGACGGGGCCTGCGGGCCGGAGCCCCGGAGGACGAGAGCCTCAGACGGTGAAGGTTCAGCTCGCGGTTCACCTCTTTTCCTCGGGGCCCTGGGGCAAGACGAGGCCAGGAGGAGGATCCATTCGGGGGAGGAGACATCGAGAACCTCTGAGATCTGGCGGGTCTGGAGGAGGTCTCGGGCGCCGCGGCCTTCTCGGAGCGTGCCGGAACGCTCTGAGAGCGTTCCAGAATGCTCTGGAACGGAGGCCCCATCGCTCAGGGCCCTATCTTTGAACCGCCGACGCGGGGCTGCCGCGTGCAGCCCAGACTGCTTCCAAAGAACGTTCTGGCTCAAATTTCGAAACGAATACAACCGTGGCGACGAGGGATACCCATGAGGTCTGAAAGGCGAAAACGATAACAGTGCATCTGTGTCGGTACATTCCCTGTCCTGCTCCCAGCGTCGCTCCCATTGTCTCTCCGCTACTGAGGCCGAGCAGCCGCCCGTGCCGTGCGCGACATGTCAGCTTGTAGTCGCAGCAGCCGCCGCGGTCGGCCGAAGGAGACAACGACTCTAGCGCGCTGCAAGTCAGCAACAACTCTCAATCTGCGTCATTCCCCTCTTTCTCTAAGCCAAGTCCTCCGACAGATCGAACAATCCAGACAACAATTGGTTTCTTCTTTTTCGGCTTCAAAGGTGTGTGTTGCTGTTGCACGGCTCTGTGTCCGTTGGAGAATACTTTTAGGATGAACAGCTGGCCCAACGGAAAGGGTCGAGATCCCCCAAGTGCACACCACGAAAAACTAGAATGTCGGAAAAGAAGATCCACACAACTCCACATCCATCCGCGGTGTCGGGAAGGCGGATTTGGTGCGAATGCGCGGCACGAGCAAGGGATCCATAAAAAGCGCAGAGCTCCAGTCACGTTTATCTTATGGCGTCCGCTATACTGCATCTTCCTATCAACAACAGGATGCTTCCGGTGAGCCGGAAAACGAAGGCATGAGCCTCACATGCAAGGCGCATGGAGGACGGAGAGTCGCTGCGATTTCAAACGGGAAAAATCTGGTTCAGACGGAGCGCCGGAGTCTGCTGCGAGAGGCCAATACTTGCCCTGCGCAGATGTTAATAGATTAGAGCTTCGCTCACGAAAGAAAAGTCGCAATTAAGCTCAGATCATCACGCTGGTAATCGCTAATAAGACGGAATCCGAACGAAACCCAAGCTGAAGCCAGAACACGCAATGCAACACAATGTTTGCGTCGGCGGCTAGGCAGATGTCACTGCGCTGGCGAGGAGGATGCAACACAAACAAACCAATACTGCACACCATAACATGCAACACAAAAGCTGTGTGCCCCAATCATGGTAAACTGTGTGTTCTGGCCATGGTCGTTGGCACTTCGACACCACACCCCGTGAAACTCCCGAAATCATTCCCGCTTTGCACGCATAATCCAAATCCAACGCCGAAGCAACAAAGCACACCACCAAGCTGAAGAGGCTACCTTTGATCTTCAAGCGCTTGAACTTCAACTAAAACACTTGCGTGCAGGTTGCTAAGCGTACCGCCGCGCG